GCGGGACCCTAGCTGGGACGAAGCAGAGGATCGGCCCTCTGTCCCCTCTGCGTCCGTCACTGGTGGCACCTGCCTCGGGGGCGGGGTGACATCCTGGGATAGCAGCTCTTCCCCCGGTCACCCCCCCCTGTGTCCGTGGTGCTGAGCAGAGCACAGAGCATAGAGCACGCCGTCCCGGGCTGGCCTGGCGGCAGAGGGACGCCGGCCACGGTGCTAGACAGGCAGACACTGCGGCCCTCTGTCCCCTCTGCGTCCGTCACTGGTGGCACCTGCCTCGGGGGCGGGGTGACATCCTGGGATAGCAGCTCTTCCCCCGGTCACCCCCCCCTGTGTCCGTGGTGCTGAGCAGAGCACAGAGCATAGAGCACGCCGTCCCGGGCTGGCCTGGCGGCAGAGGGACGCCGGCCACGGTGCTAGACAGGCAGACACTGTGCGTCCGTCCGTCCGTCCACCCGGTGTATCCACTTGAGTCAGACGCTGCGGGGGAGAGTGCCTGAGGCGACCGAGGCTGCAGAGGGGAGACCTTTGGGGTCTGAGCCCTGCAGGAAACTCGGGGAACAGCATTCTGGGCCCAGGGAACAGCATGTGCAAAGGCTGAGAGGGGCGGTGGGGAGTTCACTCGACCCCCCCCCCGCCCCCCGCCCAAGGCCAGGCCTCGTCCTGGAGGTCGGCAGCAGGCACTGTGCTTTCCAAATGCATCTGTGACTTCAGTCCCAGGGAACAGAGGCTTCCTCCTGTGCTAACCGTGACCTTGTGCTCACAGCCTGAGGGCTGGAGTCGGACGGCCACCCCTGTGCGGGTACGCAAGGGGTGCTGGGATCCGCCAGCCATGTCTGCCCCATCCGGGGTTTGCAGAGGGGCCCTTCTGGGCCTCTCTGGGGTCAGGGGTCACACATGCATGCATAGACACACTTATTTAGAGAGACATACATGCACGCACGCGCTCGCTCGCTCGCTCGCTCTCTCTCATATGATCACGGAGGAGCTTCAGGCCACAGGCTGGCCACAGGGAGGGGTTTCTGACCCCAGTGGCCTCGGGACCCACCCCAGAGGGGTCGTCCACGCTCCGCTTTTCTCTGAACCCGGAGGTTTTGAAACCGTGACCTCCTGGTTCATAGGTCGACACTCGGCCCCTGAGCCGCGCCGGCCGGGAGAAGAGGCGCATAGTGATGTGGGGGCGGCTGGTCTGAGCCGGGGACGTGGGGATGGTCTGTATTCTGTGATGCACGGACGGGGGTTCAGAGAGGCAAAGGGACTGCCCCGAGGTCACACAGCAGCTCGTTGGGAAAAACCGCTGTTTGACACCAGGAACCAGGCTCCAGACGCAAAGCCCCACCCCCACCCTCGTGTTCTCGGAGGTCGCCCGA